CATTTTCCAGTTTCGCCCAAGAGCAAACCCAACCATCTATCCGTGGAGTTTTTTAGGATATAGATTGCTAGTCTGCTATATGTCAATGAATTTTATAACACATTATATATATATATATATAAATAAATAAATAATATATATTTATATATATCCTGAGTTCGAGGTAACTTTGGCCATCCTTAACCGAAACAGACAAGTTGACAGACATTTATATACACATCTCTGTTATAGCTAGCTCTAGTACCAGAAATGGGGTGCAAGGTTCAGTGTTAAGTCTTGCAAAAGGTGGCGACGAAACTCCGACGTTCACATGTGAGGGAAATTTTGTGCCAAATGTTAAAAACTTTAGACAAATTCCAGTTTTTCCTATATTCAATCTGAACCAACCTATGTTGGATTGGAAGTATTTTTGCATTCCATCTCGATCTGGACCCACACTGCTTCAACTGCTGTCAGTGTTTGTCCGTCTGCCTTTCCGACATGACACTTTCTATTCAGCTTCTGTCATGACCAATTAGTGGTGCAGTCAATCATGCGATAATGTTTTGTGAGACAAGGTTAAGTAAATTTCAGTGTTATCGTAAAGTCTACTTATGAGTATTTAAATCACCTTAAACAACTCAGGTAAAGCTTTTATTGAATTATTACTGATAATCTCGGAGCCAAATTACACCGAAAACAGAAAAAAATTAACAGGAGACGAACAAAGCACCAAAGCTCAATAGTACGATTTGGCTTGTGTAACCCACAAATTCGTCTCAAGTTTCTTTTTAAGGAAGGCCTAAGGAAGATGCACCAAGACTGACTGGCTAAAATCCTACCAACATTTTTTGTGATTACTTTTTAAGCTTGTAGATTCGTCATTTCTGTGAACTATCTAAGGCTGTTTATTGGAAAAATGGTTCAAGTCCCCGCCAGTAATATAAATATGGTTTACACTGACGATATTATTTAGATTTTGTGCAGTATTATGATATGGCATAATGCAAACACTATAAATCAATTGGGCTATACTTTACATTTACGCTAGCATACGCTTAGGGGTAGCTATATTTTATCAATTTTTTACTGCATTGTTTAATGTTAAAAATTTCATTTTTTACACTTTCATTTCGTATAATTTGTGCATAGCTGAGAGCGTTACAAAAGCAGCTTTATTTTTGTTTGTAATATCACAAGAATTTCTGGCAGCTAACCTTTTCCACAATTTTATGAGTGGGAAAATTCAACCATCAGTCCTTCATTACCTTAAATGAAATGGAGTATTTGATTCAATGGTAGTCTCGAAAATCTACTCACTAACGAAAGAAATTAATAATCTAGTTAATTTCAGGTTGTTTGAGAAATTGTTATGCCTTAATAATCATTGGATGGGAAATGTGAAAAGGCCCATTTCACCCTCGAGGGTTTACGTACCAGGAGCTAAAAGTGTTGCTCGTACCAGTCATTCAAACACAAAGTTTGCCTTGCTAAAAGGGTCTGTTGTGAGCCTGTACTTTCTCGAACTCTTAGCTGAGGCAAAAAATAACGTAGGATGGAGGTTTTTCCTGAAAATTTGTCTGAAAGTAGGGAACGAGACATTGACTACACATTTTTGGTTCGCTCTGCGACATTTATTAAGCCTAATGGGCTTCTGGAGAGCTGGGCCCTTTCGATAAACAGCAAGTCTGAGGCCAAATCTGTGTGATTTTTCATTTTTCTGACCTCGCTGCTATTCCAGTTGACACTAGCTCTGGTGGGCTCATTTGTCAAACCGGTTGACAAAAAGCTGTCTTTCTTAAGATTTAATGTCCCACAAACTTGTAGGATTCCCCAAGACGAGGATTCCTGTCAAACAAAGACTTAGTTGAAACTCATCTCCAAAGTAGTGGACTTCACTGGTCTCTTTGACAAGGTGTAGCTTGTTTCTATGACTCGCCAGCCTCACATACGATGCCAGTATAGCATCTGGGAGTGTACCAAGTTCACGGTCTAACACCGGAAATTATTCTATACTTCTGTGACATTGCGTCCACCGCGTTTCCCTTGGCAACACAAGCAAGTTTCGAAAGCAAACTACGACCAAGTTTCAGCAGCATGAGTAGATAACAAACAATAAAGAGGTTGCATCTTGGTTTAGGAATGTGAGAAATGATTAGAACTAATGTAACATTGTGAGTTCTTCGAGGCCACCTTGAATGTGATATCATTCAGTCTGCCAAACTTCGTTAAAAAATATCGCGAAGGATTGGATTTTAACAGATACTCAGGATGCAAGAAGAGTTTTGATGTAAAGTATCAGTGCGAGTGAATGGCAGAACCAGGCTCTTCATTCTGTAAATGATGCATACACGTTTCATATTCGGTTCTCTATCCGCCAATTCCGAGAATATGCTTCGAGGCTGTCTGTAAATTTTGAAGTATCAGTTGATTTAGGAAGGGATTTTGAGAAAGTCATGACAACCATTTGTATTCATTTTCCAAATAAAATTTAGAAATGAAATTTAATTTTTTCTTCAGAGCCTAAACTAGTTAATTATTATAATCGCTTTAACAATAACGCTTTCAGACTTTATCTCACCAAATAAGTATTTTATTAAACTGTTAGCGGCCCTTGAAAAGGAATTTTGAGTACCAAAAGACCGCCTAATGTGATTTTAAGACTACAATTTGTATTTCTCACAAAGAATGGTGCCTCTACGGAAGAGCGGAGCACCATAATAATATCTGGGTTACAATTCAGTCGAGTTAAGTAGGCGAAAGCGAGGCCAAATTCGTGTTCTATTTTTACCTTTTATCTTCAACAAGGCATGTTTAGACCAAAGTGAGAAGATGACATAATGCAGAATATCTGAGATTGTATGACCTCACACATATCTGGAGGTTAATCAGCTTCTACACGCGTCATAGTCCCGCGGTTCAGATCAAGTAGTAGATATTTTTATGTGAAAAGTCTTAATTGTTCTCATGGGTTCAATATCAAACCTGGGATTGGATCCCATGCCAATATTCTTTTTAATGGACCTTATGCATTTTAAATTCTAAAATGTTGCAAGATGCCGGGCCTGAATATATTTGTGTGTGTGTGCGTGTGGGCGATTGAAATAGTGAGCATAAAACGGTCGTTTTTCTGTCACAGTTATTTAGGAGCACCCCAGACTTTTGCCTATCTCATATTAATAATGGCATTAATCTAACCAGTAAACTCATATTTTGAAAACTCCCAAAATTAGGTAGAACCGTGTTGCTGGATGACGTATACAGTTCACAGGGACACCCAAGCAACTCTGCAGATCCTGGATCGTGTCGAGCTGGACGCGGAGGACTTCAAAGATGAAAATTTATACAAAAGATTCGGCCTAGAAGAAGAGTACGCCTGTCACGATCTGACAATGTGGCAAAAATATCGCCCCAAAGTATGGTCCCTCTTTGAAGTGCCCAGCTCCTCTAGCGGAGCTAAGGTGAGTTGACTTGGTACGGCAGAACCATCTGCCTGGTCGTATAGTATTTACCAGCGCCTCAAGGGGCGGACTTT